ATCATTTTACTCAGTGCGAACGCGGGTTTAGAATGAGGATGGATTCGTCGGAAGACGAAGGATTACTTATTACACAGAGCTCTACGGGGAAAATTGTACTGCACGAGAGGTTAAAGTAGTAAGTCCGGAAAAATGTGATCAAGAGGGTAGTAATCAGTCAGTAGTTGTTAGCACTAATTCCGCTAGAATTGTTATTTCCTATAAATAAACTGATGAATATAATACTTCTTAATGCAATAGATTGTGCTGCATACTATCAGTCTCCTTGATTGTATTTATTTTCAGTGTTTGAAAGTTTTAGTTGATTAAAGTGGCACTTCGAAACAAAAAATTAAGGTGCAATGAACGAGAGTTAAACGCAAACGGTAATGTTGACAATGTGATAAGCTATCAGTTTCGGCTTAATACATTAAATTTCCTAAAAAAAAGCTGCAATATTTTTAAAAATTGTAACCTGCACGCTGCAATATTTTTAATATTGCAGCCTGGACACTGCAATATTTTTAATATTGCAGCATGCTTATTTAGCGCGTTTATATATATTACCCCTGATAATTTCCCTGCTAACAAAAAGGACCGCCTCCGTTTTCCTCATACAGTTGTTTTGTCATCTTATAGACTACAATCGTTGATTTAATGCAGAGAGAGAACAATAGAATTTCATAGGGATCAGTAATTATTAAATAGATCTTACATTCTAATTCGCTACCCCGCTCAAACGGATACGAAACATTTATCATTCAATAAGTAACGATAATTGGGGTGTGTCAACACGAGCCGTATGCGACCCTCTTTACTATGCATTCGTCAACAAAATTTAAAGGAATGGTACATCAAATGAATGAAAACTCGGAAATGTAAAAAATAAAGCAAGAAAAACCACCCTACGAAACAATCTAAACTATGTCCGTATATGGAATAAAATACTAAGAGAAACTGACAATCCCTAGTCACTGGGTATTTTTAAATACCCAGTGCCCTCAAAATTAAAATTTTGAGGGCGTGGGGACGGTCGTAAGACGCGAGTAAATATAACTGACGATCGACAACAGCTCGAATATATAGCCTACCGGTAATGAAGCAATTGTAACAACATGCCATCAGACCATGCAACACCCCAAAAAAAGCGTTACGTAACCCATGATATATACATCTCTATTTTGTGTTAAAGTCACTAATGCTTCAGTAAACTCGTCAAAAACTGCCCATCCTCGATGTCAAAGGAAAAGGAAGAACGGGCGGGAAAGAAAGAAACTGAATGAAATAATGAAATAATATCACCTGAATTTGAGGAGAAGTAACAAAAAAATCGACGACAAATGATCGTATGCAGAATGAATACATTCGAATGTAATTAATGCGTTGTTAAAGATTTCTTTACTTTGGACGAGGTAAACCCGAACTTTTTGATAAAATTTTATTCCGCCTCTGAAATAGTGAACTATCATATAGGAATAGTCTGCTGCTCCGAAACATAGTTTTGGTGTTTTGGAAGTTTTACTGGAACAACAGTACTGAAATTTCACTCGTGAAATATTTTTCTCTTCTTTAAACTTATTAGGTAGCTCAAAGAAACTTTGAATTGGCTGCATTGTCATTTTGATGGATGAAAAGCCTAAAAATCGAAAAACAGGTACCCAAGCCGTGTACAATTACGTTTTGAATTGCTTTTACATTACAGAACCTCGCCCCGAGTTAAAAAAAATTCGCCATAATCTGGCAGACTTACCTTTCTTACAGGTGAATTTATGACAGTCTGAGCAATTTACATCGTTCCATCTGTACTTATGATTTTTGAGGACACCAAGAGTATGGACGCAGTCCTCATCGTGAAAATTATTTGGCTGATGGCTTGCCCAGTAATGAAAGTTAAACTGCGATCCATCACTCCACACGAATGTTCCTTCAGTGTTCCGGTCAGAAAGGCCAAGCCACGAGTGGTCACCGCCATGTAGACTCTGTATGTACACATTTTCTTCCTGACTGTGAATGCTGGGAAGACTAGCCCCCAGAGTGGCGCACGTTGCCTGGCTCCCACTCCAGGAATCGCAGGAAGAAATTCTTCTGTAGCAGTATCCCTTATAGTACGCCCATCCTTCAAGGCATATGTCTGTTGAAGAAAGGTGAAACACATTTATTTCAATCACATTTACTATGATAAAACATTATTTTGTAAATGCTTTTTTTTTTCAGCATGATTTGCTTGCTTAGGTTAGGTGTAATTATTTTTCTTCTGCTTCAGAAGTGTCCGGAGCAAGTGTCCCGAGAAATGCGTCCGGAAAGAGACCATACCCCNCGAACGATGAGTTGGCCGGCTGAAGTTCCCGTGTCGCCACACTTTGGATTTCGTCGGGAAATATCTTAAATACATCGCATATGAAATATTTACGCAAAGGAACGTCACATACCTCTTTCAAAAGTAGATACCAATGCTTGCAAGGGTCAAGTGTGGCACTTGTAATCCTGCAAAGACTCTGCGTGGTTAAGTTAGCCGGTGGAAAGCCGCACGTCGAAAATCCGACTGCCTCTATGACTTCATTTCGAATGGTTTCGAAATCGAAAACATGATGCTTTTCGACATTTCGACATGAAAAATCTCGTCGAGGTTTAATATTATAATATTGGTAAGAATTTAACCAGGATACGAGGCCAAGTCGTGCGACCGCCACAGGTTTTGTACCAAAACAATAACATCGTGTACTACGATCGCAAAGCGTGAACACTGATCGATCCACCAAGTGACGCAATACTGGAAATTCGATACGGTTGTTATTCAGGTCGTACGGCACATGAAAATTGCGATATCTTTTGTTACTGTTTTATGGCAAACCAAGCGAAAGAATCATACCTAAATAATCGAAAGAGAGGCTTTTCGAATACGGCGCCTCGCCGGTATTGCCTCTTCTGTGAAAAGGAAGGATCTTTGAAAGACTACGTGATTAAAAATGTCGTTATAAGGAAACAGGCAGAAACAGAGAAAACGCAGTATTTTATGACCATTACGCGCACAACAAACTTCATTTCATTTCATGATTTTGATTTTCATCGCCAACAGATGACCCCGCGTTAACTCGCACGCAATCGCGTATCTCTCGTGGATTCGTGGGCGCTAATCTGTATAATTACATTGTGGTGTAATTAATGTGATGACATCCACCCAACGCCTTCTTCCCCAAACCTAGGCATCAGTTTACCATGCCTGCTGAGAATTTTTTTCTTGAGCAAAGCTCGTCATATGGAGGGAGACTCTAACTCACACTCCAAAACACAGTTGTTTAGGACACCACTTACTAAGCACTAATAAAAATTAATTCACATCATTTGTATCTCTTTCTTGTTCTTCATCGCCAGGCGGTGTTTATAAAATCTTAAAAAGGATAATGAGGAGGGAGGGGAAGGAAAGAAAGCAGGTGTTCCAAGAAATGCGTCCGGAAAGGGACTGCACCTCATTATTATATAATCAAGGACACCTTACCAGATTTTACCTGCTAGAACTGCATATGATACAGTTAGTGGATCAAAGCGATTGACAAATACTTCCTTGACACATATTCTAAAGCCAGAGGTGGTGATGAACTATTAAAAAAGCATTTTAAATGGATATAAATATAGCTTCAAGACTTACAGATGGCCCAAGAGAGGCGACAGACCTGCATGCTTGGAAATTCAGTATTTTAGCATTCGATAGGTATCCACACATCGAGGTATCCATGTCTTGTTGCAATATATTCGGCTAATTCAGCAGTACGTGTAGCTAAGTCAGTTGCGGCATTAAAATGACACGAAATGACATGCTATTCTCGTCAGATCAACAACAACAAACAACAACAACAAATTTATTTAAGCTTAATAAGAAAATTACAAGTGGCTAGGGCTATTCGAGGCGGGCGCAAGAGAGGAAAATAAAAAAAAGAAGAAAAGAATTCTATAGAAAATTAATATTTATATGTATAATTATAATATATAGACGAGCAATCCTAAAAGAAATTTTGTTTGCCGTGTGGCTTATAGACAGAATGAAACAGGAGAGCAGACTGTAGTATATACTGGACGTACACACAGTTATAATTTTGAAAATTAATAGCAGCAATTCTTATATAATCATCCTCTTTTTTCAGAATTTCAAAGAGTTTTTCCTTTATTGCGCTTTTAAATTGATCTTTTAAATGTTTTCATAGGAAATGGAATACTGTTCCAGATCAAGGTGTCAGAAATAGAGAAAGCTCTCAGTATTCATATTTTCAGTTCTAACTTGTTCAACATAATAATTTTCATTGGTAACAGATCTAGTCTGGTAACTGTGGACAGAAGCCAGCTTCGTGAACATGTTCTTAATGTTATCAGGAACGAGATTATTGTCGACATCGTACATTAAAAGGTTCATTAGCTCAAAGCACAAGAATGATATCAGCAACTGTTTAGTTTGTAAGAATAACGGAACTACATGAGCTCTTGGATCAGCGAAGAACATTAGCCTAAGGGCTCTCTTCTGAAGAACTAGTAGTTTATGAAGATGCGGTTCAGCAGTGTGACCTCAAGCACAAATGCCATAGCTGATATAGGGTAAGATTAAAGAGCGGTATAAAGTGAGAAGTACATGACGGGGAACAAAATGTCTCAGCTTGGCGATAATTCCGATTGTTTTACTCATTTTCTGACAAAAGTAATCTACATGAATTTTCCATGAAAGATTCGAATCAATAAGTAGACCAAGATATATAATGTAGTCTTTCATTTGTAAGAGTTGACTGGTGTTTGAATTGCTATTTACCATTTTAATATCAGGAGAAAAAGGACTAGTCTTTTGGCGTGAGCGAAAGATAATACAATTGGATTTTTCGATGTTCAAGGTTAATTTATTGACAGTTAGCCACGAGGAAACTTTGTTAAGTTCTTCGTTAATCTCAGATTCAAGTTTTTTCGCGATCGCCGTTTGCATAAATTAAACTAGCATCATCGCCGAACAAGTAAAACTGAAGTTTATTTGAAGACTTATATATATCATTTATATACAAGAGAAAAAGCAAGGGTCCCAGTACAGAGCCTTGGGGTACTCCACAGAGGGTTTGATGAGCATCAGATATATAACCATTGACGGTCGTGTACTGTTTACGACCAATTAAGTACGACTAAACCAATTATTCACTATACCTCTGAAGCCATAATTTTCAAGTTTTGAGAGAAGAATTTCATAATTAACTGTGTCGAAAGCCTTTTTAAAATCAATGAATAAGCAAAAAGTGAATTGAGTGAATTGACCGTTATCAAAATTAGTAAAAATGTCAAATAAGATTTTTAGAACAGCGTGTTGTGTACTAAGCTTACTGCGGAATCCATATTGTGATGAATATAAAATATATTGTGCTTATTGACAAACTTAACAAGTCTTTTTATAAACCAGCTTTTCAAATATTCTGTTGAAAACTGATAGCAAAGAGATTGGTCGATAATTTCCATGCTAAGATGCATCTCCTGATTTAAAGACTGGAACTACTTTGGCGGTTTTAAGTTTGGCTGGGAAAGAACCTGAGGATACTGAAACATTAAAAATTTGAGCTAAAGGTTGAGAGATAAAATGGCTAGACAATTTCAAAATACTGACCGGGCATGAATAGAGTCCATAGGCTTTGTTATTTGGCAATAGATTGATTTCAGCAACAACTTCTACAGGAACAAAAGGGCCAAAATAAAAGGAACTTTCTATTGGCGGGTCTAAGAAAGTACTAAAATCATGATCCAGCGACGAAGAAGGGATACACGAAGCCAACTTTTGTCCAACAGTTGCAAAGAAAGTGTTATGAGAATTACTTGTTTCCTTTGGGTTGAATATCGTTTCCGAGTCGGCGTTAAGAAGGTGGTGTATTGACGATTGGCTTCTATTAGTCTTTCTTGAAATTATTTCATTTATACCTCTCCACGTTTCTTTGGAGTTGTTAATATTTTCTTAAAAATAACGTTCATGATAATTCTTCTTGCTTAAACGCGTTAGGCTAGTTAATTTGTTTCGGTATACTTTATAGTTCTCTCAATCAGCATTAAAATATAAATTATTTTTGATTCGTATTGAAGTTCGAATTCCTTTGGTGATCCATGGTTTTGATAATATTTTTTCCCTGCGCCTGGAGAGAGAGTCCACCGGAGCATGCTTATTTGCCAAGGAGTTTATTTTTTTGTAAAAAGTTGTGAATGATTTGTTTGCGTCAATGTTTTAAAGATTATCCCATTCTGTTTCTTGCAGTTCAGAAAGAAACCTATTAGCATTGAAATTGGAGTAGTGGCGAACTTTTTTCCTTTGTTTCGAGTGGTACAATGAATAAGGTTGTGTTATCACAATACAGACATGGGTAAAATGGTCATTCCTCTGTGTGATTTAAAAGTAACGATTTACGCATGCTTTGTTCAGTTGTTTGTATTCATTCTTACACAGTTTCAAATTACCTCTATCCAGCCCACTATACCATTGCATTCTGCAGCAGCATTTCCTCCAGAAGTAGAATGTTTGGCTGTCAAAAGCACGCTTGGGGATTTGCTGTAACTTCCGGTGAAGCTTACATTCTATGATTGTAAAAGTCAAAATCTGGCAAGTGTATTTGGATTCAGACCGTGTCAGGGAATCGTAAAACCTGGTGGTTAACTGTTGCTTAAGAAAAATCAATTTGTCTACTTGTCGTCTTTTCCTTCGCTAACATAGACAAATTGAAGGATAGAAACAGTTTTCTTCGTTATATTAGCCATTTTTACCCTCAGCGAATGGAGAAGCGAATTAGTAGTTGTCAAGAGGAGCCCAATTTTTCTTTCCAGTGCTCCCTCCATTTTTTCACCTGTCTCCACCGAGCGAGAGCCTAACGTAGGCTAATCTTCGCCTTGATTCCC